GGGGGGGGGGGGGGGGGGGGGCGAGGGCAGAGATGGCGGCATGCGAGATTGCGCACGAACCCCGCTCGGGCGAGATGTTGGCGGATTGGCAGCAAGCGAGAGGTCTGATGGAGCGGAGGGATAAACAGCGTGGAGTGAGACCTCCCCGCGCTGATCAAAGACGCAGGCAAGACATGCATTCTTTTTTTTTTCTTTTCTTTTTTAAAATGTGAAGAAGGTCGTAGCAGCATAGCTGTGGCTGTTGCTGTAGCTGCTGGCAGCTCCAATAATTGTTTGAAGCGCGCGTTGCGTTTGGGGGGATCGACTTGGAGGCAGCAAGTAAGAGACGCACGCATCGCGCATCGCGAGGTTTTCCAGCGGACGTGCTGTACCGGTACCGGTACCGGTACCGTTTCTCGGTGGGAGCGCGTGCCTTGTTCCTTGTTCCTATATCAGCACGAAATGCGCGAATCGTGAATCGAGAATCACGAATCTTGAATCACGAAGGCTGCTTGCTTGCTTGTCGGAAACAACGGCGCTGAGGGGTGAGATCAGCTAAAAGACGCTAAGGATGCATTAGCGTCGAAGCGGACAATTTCAATCGCAGTCGTGAGTGTGAGTGCAGAAGGCGAGGCCGAGGCTAAGCTAGACTAGATTGCGCGCAAGTTTTCAAGTCTGGCTCTTGACTTGACTGTGATGGCATCATCTTCCACCAAGGAGGCACCCCCCGGTCCGCTTCTCACAATCGCAACCGCTCTGCTGCTGCTGCTGCTGCAAGAACGAAGCAAAGCATTTCACGTCGAACCCAAGTCTCACTATGCAAGAGCATGCGTATCAATCAAGGTCTGCCGAGAGCGGCAATTAGGGCGTGGCATATGTGCGTAAAGGGGGGAAGAAAAAAAGTGCGTGAGCCTGCAGCGTTCCGCGTCACTTGATTGAGCGGGCTGTGTGCTCACCGCGCACTGCGTTTGCGGGCGTGTCTGACGGCGGGACCGATTCAAGACTCGGAGCCAAGTATTCGGTCAGGCGCGCTTCAGCTGTAGCTGGCTTGGCCGGTCTAGCAATCACGGCTATGGCCCCCCGCGAGTCCTGAGGGCCGATCGATCTGGACCGACTTGCTGCTACAAGTCGTGAGAGAGCTTGTGTGGAGGTGAGCGAGTGTGTGGTCCACAAAAGTGACTACTATAGGTGAGCCATGCCATCCGCGATCTGTTGCCTCTGGCACGCATCTGCGCACACCTTTCCTATGATTGGGCATTTCTCTGTGCGACCGGACAGGTCGGAGGTGAGCTCGCATTGAGGCTGTCGTGCCACCTTTGTCCTTTTAACGGCGAACGTGAAGCGCATCTAGAAAGAGTCGTGAGTGGGGAGAATGGCGCACGAATGCGCGGCCAGCAAGTGTGCTGCTTTGTGCAGCGATGATGATGCGTGATGGATGATATCTGTGAGGATTCGGTGAGCACTTTGTTGGCAGAGCGCCTTCCAACAATCATCACCGCCTGCGGCAGAAGAGAAGCTTTGCGAAGTGCGCTTCGTGCACAAACGCGATGCGATGCCTCTTGCCGCATTCAGGTCGGGATAGGAAGTCGGTGGGTCGATGAAGATTGCGCTTGTTGCGGCATTCGGGAGGTCCCGCGTACTTCGCGTTGAGTGCGGGACTCAACTGGGTTCATCGTGATGGGTACGGAGTAGATACCTTCTACGGGCCAACGGGATCCACTTCACCTCGTGTCCAGAAGCGCAATCCTGAATCACTTGTTGTCGAGCTGCGCAGATGAGAGGGGGAGGGCGCTTGCTTGAGACAGGCCGAATCGAGCGCTTGCAGGGTTGACGAGTGAAATTGCTCGTAAGCGTGTTCCCCGTCAATGAGGTGCGACATGAAGACCAGTCCTTTGCATGGGACGAAATGACAGCGGCAATGGCGCCTGTGCAGAAGCCTTCACATTGGAATCGAGCAACCCGATTTGCACGCGAGCTGATGTGTCCTCACGTTTCGAGAAGGCGAGCGAGACGAGGAGGATGATTGTGATGACAAGTCGCGATGACTAGTCTACAACAATGACGATTGCGAGTGCGAGTTCAGACGAGAATGTCGACCAGATCGACGCTCTGACAGCCCTGACATGCCGCGCCAAAAGGAAAGTGGAAGCCATCGTGATTGCACCGTACCTGACAAAGACAAGCAGTCGATCGCAGCTCGGAGAGACCCAAACGGGACCGCCCGACTCGCAATCTGACCGCTCAATGTGCCTCTGATGAATGTACCTGTATCCACGCATCATAGGGGGCGTGTGTGGTGCAGTCCTGCAATGAAGACCACAACCTGTATTGGATGGTGCACTCGCACAGTGGCCAGCACAAACAGACTCTTCCGCGGTCTGATGGCGTCAGGGGGCGATGCATCTGCATTCAGCGATGTCAGGCGTGCCTTTCTTGCAATCGAATTGGGAGCCGCTTTTGCTGTCGCAGCCAATCTGAGCGACGAAGGGTACAAGTATATGAGCGTTTCGGGGAGTCGCTGAGTGTGTACCTGGCGCTCGGCTCTCGTCATCGAGGTCCCAGCACAGGCCCAAGCCCCTTGGCAGGGACATTCGTTGTGAATGTTCTGCGAAGGCTAAGGAGCAATCGAATGGCTCGCGACTCGTTGACCGTGCGCGTACACAACAGCGGGAGTGCTGCCTGCTTGGTACTCGCCGACGACTCATCATCACACAGCAACGAAGCCTCTGGTCGAGCTCCATCTGGCTGGCTGGCTGGCTTTATGAAGGTGTATGCACATCAGCGAACATCGCCTCAGAGCGGCACCCAGATGATCGAGATGAGCTCATCCGACCCACCCGCCATATAATATTGACCCACGCCAACCGCGGCTTCAAATGAGGCGGAGAGAGGTCAATTCTGATTCGTGATTGAACTGGATTGTCTGCGCTGAACGATGCATAGCCACGGTCCTGGATTCGAGATCGAGCGCCAGCGCCTTGTTCATGCATGGCTGGCTGGCGCCTGGCGCAGCCAAATGAGGAAGGAGCTCTCATGATGACTCGTCGTGACTTCAGAAGCGATCTACAGCAAGCATCTCAGCAGCAGCAGCAGCAGCAGCAGCAGCAGCAGTCACTATACTGAGTCACAGAGTGGTTATAGTCAAGATTGTTGATATCCGCGTTTATTGCAGCAGCAGCAAGCAAGCAAGCAAGCAAAGGCAATTTAACTCTTGACTCACGACTCGATCGACCTCGGAGCTAGAGCACGTTTTGTCGCGGGTGAAACTCAATTTAACTTGCATCCGTCGTGCTGCTGCTCTCTGTGTGCGCAAACTGCCGCGGGCCGCGTGTGCTGATGGGTGTATAGGCGCTGACGGGCGACTGCTGTCTGCGCGCGTAGTGCTGCATACATTACCGGCGCCCGAAATCACGAATACCTGCATGCCTGCCTGTATAAGCGCGCCCGGCTTTGTAGCTGATGTAGCTTTTTTGCTGCAGCAGATGATTGACCGCCCTGGAGCCATGCAGGACTCGAATACTCCGACCGGAGCCTACGCGTGCATCACCACCAGGCAATCTAAGCTTGCTTCCTTGTCTCACCTCTGACCGCGCTACTGCCTGCGGTTCCGGCCCGCATCACTCATCGCGCGGTTGCTGCTGCATGCTGGATGTCTCCTCCCTGGTCTGCACGCAGTGAACCCCCGCGCGCGCGTTGCTTGCATATATGCTGCGCTCAACAGGCTACGATATAGCGTGCGTGCATGCTGCACCCAGGATCACAGCATCACAGCACTTGCCAGCCTGCTCGCGCCGTGTACTACTGTATGTACAAGTGCCTACCTTGGACTTGCAATAACCCGCCGCCCTCAGCTCAAACGGTCGTCATCTATAGCTCCAAAGAGGCTGCTGCTGGCTCACCTCACCTTGGTCCACAGAGGTCGGGGCTACGAGAGCGGTTCATCTGATGCGCTTTTGCGCCGTCACGTCACTCCTCAAAGCTCGTCAAAACTTGCGACTGGTTGGGATGAAAGGACGAACGAGACTTGCTGCTGAACCACCATTCCCCTTCCCATCGGCTAAGCCCTTTATATTTCAAGATTCCGTTGTTGGCGTTTTGGTCTTACGCGCGCAACATATAGCAGCGCCCGACCAAAACCTCCTCTTCTTCTTCTTTGCTGGGACCATTTTCCATTCCAAGAACACCGCTCCGCTCCAACGGTTCCAGCTTTCGCTGGCCCTGCAGCTGCCCTCCGCGTGCCTGGCGGTTCCTGACCCGGGCACACGCCCTGCAGTCCTGATTTGCGCTCAGCAAGCCGCGCGCAAGCCGCGCGCCCAGCAGCAGCAGCACACGCGCGCCCGCGCCCGCGCCCTCTAGCAGCCGCTATAGAGAGCGAGCGCACTCTCTCTCTAGCTCTTCTCTGTGCAAGCCCGCGGCCGCCTGCTGTTCTGGTCGAGAAAGACCCGTTCGCGCGGTGGCTCCTAGCAACACTCGACGAGACTACTGTTGTGACTCACACTTGGGGCTTCCGTTCGGCGCACCTCCTTCACTACGACGCAGACCATTCACGAGTCTCGCTTTCTTGACTCACAGCTGCTGCTCTGCCCTGCCCTGCCCTGCCAACGGCATTCTATCTTGGCTTTTCCCCTGCCACTGTCTCTTTTGCCCCTCAGCGCGGCTTCACCCTTAGCTGCGACGCCCCCTGGTGCATTTCGGTGATCTACTAGTCCCTCTGCTCCTCTCCAACGCGACGACGAATCTTCGATCTCCTCAAGAGGACCCCTCTCGCCTGCGCACGTCTCGTGTAAAGCATAAGCTGCAGATCACAACCTCTCACAGGCAAGCCCATCGTGTCGAGATCCATTGCAATGTCGCTCCCCGCAGGTCACGGCCTGCCGCCGTACCTAGCGGCTGCGCACGGCTATCCTGGCACGCCACAGCATGGAGCAGCTTCCATGCTTCATCATCACGGCACCCCACACTCTTCGTCTGGCTACGTGCACCACCCAGCTGCTCAGCCTCAGCCTCATCACCACCACCACCACCATCAATCTCACGGCATACAACACTCGCACGCTCACGAGTACGGCGGCAGTGGACACGTCGTCGGGATGGCTCATGGTCAGCACCCCGGTCAGATGCAGCCGCATCAGCGAATCCCTTCGCATTCTCAGATGGCGCCTCCCTCAGCCATCCCACCTTCCTACGCCGCTCCCATGAACGCTGGCTATGCAGCATCGCTGGAATCGCGATCGTCACATCAGGCACAGCAGTCTGTCCCTTACAATGGCTACACCCCCAACGGCTCATCCTCTGCCATGCCGTCGCACTCGCAGTACGCTCACCATTCTCCCTACACTTCACCCGTCATAGCGAACGTCTCCAACGCGATGCCCGCATACGTCACCGAGGGACCGATCCAGCAAAGTCCGCACACATCCTTTGCCCAGATGCGTTCGCAGAGCTTTGCGAGTGGATCGGGGCAGCAGGGACCTGTGCTCGAACGAAGACCGTCGGAGCCCGTCACGAGGCGCAAGCGCAAGTCACCCGACAGCAGCAGTCCGACTGGCCTGGAGGATGAGTTCAAAATCGACGGGAAGAGCATCGATGCAGCTGGCGGCAATGTGACAATGTTTCAATGTCGCGGCTTTGGGGATTGCAAGATGGTCTTCACGCGCAGCGAGCACTTGGCTCGCCATGTCAGGTGAGTCTTGATGGCGACGAAGGAGCATATCCGCAAAAAAACCTTCTTCCAGCGTGCTACGCAGCTTCCAACGCTTGTCGAGTCTAAAGCAAGACTCCTGTGGCTGACGCAATTGGATCCCACCTCTTGCCACGCAGGAAACACACTGGCGAGCGACCGTTTCGCTGCCACTGCGGCAAAGCCTTTTCCCGATTGGATAATTTGCGGCAGCACGCTCACACTGTGCATGCCGACGAGGCGGAGCGCAACGAAACCATGATGGCCGAGCTGACAGGCTTGCACACCACGCTGGCAGCATCTGCTGCGCAAGCTCAGCATGCGCGGGCACAGGTGCTAGGTAAGGCAAACACACTCACTGGCGGACAGACAGCCAGCGCTACGAATCGCCGCAAGTCCACTGGTGGACGTCTCAAACAAGAGCCAAGAAGCGACTCGCGCCGCGGGTCTTGGGTAGAAGCGCTCTCGCCAGAGATGAATGCTTACGTATCACCTCAGCAAGCGGCGCACGTCGCATCTCCCTACGCCCAACGTGGCGGCGCCTTTCCCACTGCGTCTCATGTGGAAGGATTTGGTGCCAACTCGCCCGTGTACCACTTTGGTTCGCGGGGCAGTCTGAGCGGACCTTCAGGGAACGCCGCTCAACCTTCAGAGCCATTGTCGGCGCCTGCCCATGCTGCGTCGCATGGTTTCGCATACACCTTCCCAGCGCCGAGCGAAGCCAATACGCACGGGCACGGTGGCTACGAGCTGGACAACAGACATCATCTGGGCGGTGCTGCAAATAGCGGCTATCCTTACGGCGCCGAGATCCATCCTCCCTACCCTTCACGGGACCATCTCGAGCCTGCACACAACAGCGCACCTGCCGAGTCCGCTGACTGGCGCTTCGACCCACATCACGGCGCGCCCCACGAGTATCAAGACGCACCACGCAGAGTCAGCCAGCAACCGTCGGGCTTCCAAAGCACACTTGCTGCACATCTCCAAATGAGGACGCCCACGCTGGCCAAGGGACGCGTCTCGCCGCCCTTGCCCGGCAGCTCGCATGGTCGTCCATTCTCTTCGCACGGCGCTCGGCCAGGCAGTGCGGGCGGGCCGCCAAGCGCCGTGTCCGACCGGCCCATCTTGCCTCCCCTATCCAGTCTGAGTCGGCCAGGCACTGGACACGGGGGACCCTCTCCTGGAGGCATTCCACGCAGCTCGCACGGCACTGGCTCGGCTCTGCCGTTTGGTTCAAACCTTGGTGACTCGAGCACCTCAGACAGGCGCCCCGGTACCAGCTCTGCCAACGCAGGTGACTTTGGCACTTCTAGCAGCACCGTTCCCGCCGCTGTGCGCGGTGTTAGTCGCCCTACCTCACGGAGTGGCCTGCTCGACTTGACCTCGCTGCCGAGCCTAGTCTCGCCAATCGAGCCCCGCCCGGCGACAGGCTCCAACAGCAGACTACCTTCGAGGGCGGGCATTCCGAGCAGCTCGGCCAACGCATCTTCTTCCGTCTTTCGCTTCCAGCCACCGCCGCTTCAGCGAGATGGGCGAGGCGTGCCTGGTGGCATCTTGGAAAGGCCTGGCAGCTCCTCTGGCCCGCATGACGTCAAGAGTACTGGCTTGAGCCGAAGCAGACCAGGAAGCTCGAGCGGGCCACGCGGTGGAGTCTCCTTTGACATTTTGCCACCTTTGATCGATCGGGACCGCGACAGGTTCAGAAGAAAAGCCGCTGGCAAAGGCGCTTCGCCCGGTCCAGACGCTAAGCGCTTACGGCCCTCGACGAGCGGCGAGCTGCATCGTCCGCCACGCTTTGGCGAATCTTCCTCTCGAGACGAGCCCAGCATTGCCCCTCCGCCTGCCGATATGATGCAGACTCGTCGCGTGAGCATCGCAAATCTCTGCGACGTCCCATCTCGCTCCAGATCCCCGCCAGACTTTGCCAACGGCAAGCGCTCGCACCGGGAAGAGTCGAACGAGCGAGATCAGAGCGAGGATGAGGATGAGGACGCTATGCGCACTCGACCTGGCACGACGAACAGCCTGTTCACAGTTGCTAGCACACCCGCCGCTGATGAGGATGATGACGACAAGGACGGTGTGAAGAAGGAAGAAGCGGGTGATGACGCTTGAGACGCCGCACGTGCTAAGCTGGACGATTGCCCACGCTCTTGCATTGCAAGCACCGAAAGACGCGATGCGATGCGAATTTTTTGCTGCTCTCTTGCATTTCCGTTCCCTCTCCGCTTTCATCAGAACAGTACGCGCCGCGACCTTTCCCCCGTTCTGATGCTGCGCCGAGTCTGCTTTGTCAGACTTGGTTTTTCTCTTTGTATTAGAATCATTCCGCACATGGCTCCACCATATTTGCTGTCAGAGCGCACCCCATCCACTCATTCAAAAAAAAAAAATGTATCTCGACGACCTCGACCCTGACGGCGCGCTTTTGTGCCAGAGCGGATCGCTCTCGTCGTTAGCACATGCGCTGAGCGTGGAGAATGCCATTGCGTCCACATTCACATTGCTACGTCACGCGCTGAATTGATCTTCACCACAACGGATAGCTGACATGACATTGCGATCAATCACCTTTGGTGTGTTGATGGTTGGATCTCACCTTTAGCACGCAAGGCGGTAGCGCCCCCTCCGCGACATAGATGCCGCCGGCACGGCCAAGCAGGAAAGCTCATATCGACGCATATGCTGCAGAGAGCTAGCTGACATGCAATCAAGCGTGGACTCGACTTGCTTCCTTAGCGTCGAGTGCGCGCTAGGAAAAGCGTTGTGTGATAAAGTTGGGGGGGGGAGGGGGAAGGGGGGCTAGGCTAGGATAGGCCACAGAAAGCGACGAATTGTGGGCGCGATCGAGACGGCAATCGAGCGATCGGCACTATGCAAGACTGCTACTACTACTACTACTACTACTACTACTACTACTACTACTACTACTACTACTACTACTACTACTACTACTACTACTACTACTACTACTACTACT